CCAATCCACTTCCTCACAAGTACCAACCAGTGTGCCTTTTTCTATAATCTGTTCCCGGTCGCAAAGGTTCAGCACACGTACTCCTGAGATGTCAGTGGTCCTGACCAAGGTTCGAGCTACTTTCCATGGAAGGTCATTGTTTACCCTTTCCACAAGTACACAACGGTGAGCTTGCCCAGCGTTTCGAGGAAGACTAACCGGAACAATCGTTTCCGATCTCGGCGGAAGAACAATCTTCTTGATGCTGTACACGTTCCCTGGTAACGCACCTTCCATAAAAAGTTCCTCCTGTCCACATTTCAAAACACCTTGCTTAACGTCGATCTCGCAACAATTATTCCTCATAAAGTCTAAGCCTAGGATGCAGTCGTCCATTATATCAGCCACGATGACATTATGCAGGTAGATCACGTTGCCTAGCTTCAACTCCATCTCCTTCTCTCCACGGACGGGTATACGCTGACCGGTGGCTGTTACCAAATTAATGCGTTCTCGGTTGTATGCGGAGTCCCCAAGGAACTGCCTTATAAGTTGGGAACTAACAACCGTACGAGAGGCTCCAGTGTCTATGGTCAGTTTACACGGCATTCCGTTGACCTCGCCCTTGATGATTAGACTGTTCCCGTCATGGGTTTGTGAGATCGAGATCCTTGGGGCTCTTTTAACATCAGCCAGCACCCGCCCCGCAGTTCTGGCTTTTACTCGTTTCCCTGCTGCTGCAGGGCGGTGCTTTTGGCCGCACTACCCTCCTGAGATCGTTCACCTTCCCTTTCTAGGGTTCGCTTAGGGCAGCTGGATCGAAGATGGCCCTTTTCCCCACAGCCATAGCACCTAGGGCTGTATCCTCTGTTGCGGTCGCGAACTGTAGCTGGTGCAACCTCCCTGATGCGATGGGAACGATGATCCTGCCGCACGGCTTCCACCTCCAGTGCATGGGCCAAGGCGTTCTTAAGCGTGTCGTGGTGCCCGAGTCTCACAGCAGCTCTGACTTCAAGGTCGCGGATGCCGTCGATGAATGTCTGAACCAGGTTCCCTTCAATGAGCGCAGGTACAGACTGGTATGCTTTTCGAACCATCTTCTCCACCTCAAGGGCCCACTGCTGCAGGTTCTCGTTGCTGCGCTGCACGCGATCTTTAAGCTGTGCGCGAAAGACGTGTTCCAGATGAGCGTCGCCATATCTCGCTTCCAAGGCCTCAAGAAGCTGCTCATAGGTCACTTTCTTACCGAGAGCTTCCAACACAGTTAAGGCTTGGTCACGCAGGCCTAGGGTGAGTGCAGTCATGGCTTGGCTTTTATTCCAGCCGTTCGCCTCCATGACGGCCTCGAACTGGATTTTTTAGGCTGACCAGGAAGAGGTCCCGTCGAACGGCGGCACTTTGAATCCACGTAGCGAAGGTGCTGCAGCTACTACGGGAGCTGTAGTTCCATCCCCAAGTTTGAGGTCGTTTAGTGATTTCTTCATGTCAGCCACTACGTTGTCAACCCGATTGTTTACTTGGTCGATTCGGGTTTCAGCTTTCTCGATTCGGTTTTCAGCTTTCGCGATTTGGGTTTCGGCTTCCGACAGGCGGTTGTCATGCTGAGCAACCCTATCCTTCACCTCCTTTATCTCCTTCCCGAAGGTAGCGTGAAGGTCCTTCATGAGGAGCATCTGCTCTTCCAACCGACGGGCCTGTTCTTCCTGTCCGCCCCGCAGCTGCTCTTCCAATCGGCGTGCCTGTTCCGCCTGCTGGCGAGCCTGCTCCTGCAGCATCACCATCAGAGCACCTAAGTCAGGTGCTGCAGATGTAGGAGCTACGGACGGGCCTGCAGCCGGTGGCTGGTCCTCCGACGTCTGCGGCGTTGCACCACCAAATCTTCGTTGGTCCGTCTCCTGCTGGCGTTGACTTCGGGTACGGACACCCTCCGTTTCCTCCTTAGGTAAAATCGGCATGATTTTATCCCACTTCTGACACCAATTGTTACGAGCTTGAGGTTCGTGACAATAAAAATTGCCGATAAAATTACCTAAATTAACACTTTAATTTACTTTAAACAAATTAAATCTTAAAACACTAATAATTAAACACACTAATTCACTTAATTTCGCTCCGAAGCTTCGCTCGTATCGCCAATTCAATACTGCTCCCATCGCTTCTTGCAGCGCCTATATATTTAAATTAGCAAAGAAATATCCAGAATGTTCAAGTAAACACGCGGAAGGTACCGAGCGTTCGAGTTTCGACTAGGCGCTGTCAGTTGAGTGATTTGTGATGTCATTTTCTCAATGCTCCCCTCGCTCTCGTTCCTGACACTAGATGGCGCTAGTTGACTTATTCATGCAACAATAATATTGCGGGGTCGACCTTTAACGGGATTTTCGATTGTACTCTTGTGCAGCTTTCTATATCGCCGGCGCTCAACACAACACCTGCTTTTTCTGCTATGCTTAATACTATATTTGTTAGATTTTCATTTTTAATTTCTGGTACTCCCACCACTTCTACATTTAACTGACGTGCCCACTGCTCTTGTCTTTGGTTTTTGAAGGAAAGCCTGTCTAATATCACTTGCATTTCGATAACTTCACGACTTTGTATCTTAAGTTTTTCTTATGAACAATTTGCACGTTCTTGTAGGGTATCGATGCGCTTGGATGAGAATTCCAAGGAGGTTTGCATTTCGGTAATTGTGTTTGCCGTAGCCTGTTGAGCTGAGTGTATAGAAGTTAAAGTATCCTTAATAGTTACTTGGTCCTGAGAAAGAATATCTGAAATTTGTTTTAGATTACATAGTTGTTCCTTTAATGACGATACTTCATCATGTATTTTTTTAACATTCTCCTCTTGCGAAGTTTTGAATTCAGTAAGAAAGGACATTATCTCTTTCCTAAAATCATTTAATTCGGATTTCATTGCTTCTTCCGGTTGTTTTATTTTTGATCTTTGGAGGCTAATATTACGTTGCTGTGTAACCTCGGTATCGCATTTTGCATTATCGGGCTGGGAACTAACAAGACCAACTTTGGTCGCAGGCGGTGATTTTTGCGGGTTCATTATGTATCGCAAACCAATATTATGAAGCCTGTGATGCAGTTATATCGAACGTCAAGTGGGACAAAAAAATTAAGAGCCCCTGCCCTTTACTCGAGGGGGTGAGGTGTGGGGATTCACTGACTGAGAAACACTGCTAAACTGTTCACACAAATAATAACAGACTTAAGTTCCTTAATGAATGCACAAGGTTATCCTCTTTACGTTGACTACTTAAAGATTTATTTTTGATTGTTGTCACTTCAGATTAAATTAGAACGACAGGAGACACGTCCGCTCAGTACAAACGCTCACGACTGAAAAAAAGATCGAATCGAAAGATGTATCTCCGATAGTTGTTGGTCTTAATAACCTGATCCTGTATTGCACAGACAAAAACATCGGTTTCCCCGAAGAGGTCACCGAATCGTAGCTAGTTGAGGGAAGCGACTGTATCTACGAAGGGCTCATGAAGAGCCCTGTAGTACCTCCCGGGGAGCTCCTTCTCCTTCCATACGGTCTCCCGGTCGGAAATGCTAAGTACTGCTGGGTGCAGCCATTGCTCCTTGGCTAAGGATAGAGGGATAAGCCCTTTATCACTAGAAATGACGTCATTATAGAATGGATCATCCGATTTCGCCAGGAAGTAGTGACGGAGGCTGCACACTTCACGATTACGCATGGTGAGCGCGCTCAGAAAACCACGACCACCATGCTTTCGCGGCAAGTACAGCCTCATTACCGACGATCTCGGATGATGCATCCTATGGGACGTCATGGTAGTGCGGACTTTTCTATCCAGGGCGTTAAGTTCGGTCTGAGTCCACCTGAGTATGCCAAAGGTATACATGAGGACAGGCATGACTCAACCATTATATGCGTGTGTCTTATTCACACCGGACAAAAGGCTGTTAAGCACTTTGGTCAAGCGTGCATAAAACACGTCACAAACTGACTGTTTCATACCAGCCTCATCTATACCGATGTTCTGTTACATACCCAGGTATCGGTATGTTTCAGCCTCGGAAAGGATCCTTAAGTTGACGGGCATAGATAAGTATATGCCCTCAGAGTTAGCAACCCTTCCCCTTTCCACATGGAGAACCGCACACTTATCCGTCCCCAGCTCCATTCCAATAGAATTGCTAAATTCACAAGTGATGTTTAGCAATTCCATAAGATGGGAGCGACTGGAGGCGAATAACTTGAGGTCATCCATATAGAAAATGTGGGTCACTTTTGTCCCTCCCTTCCGTAGCTGAAATCCTCTCCCGGAGCCCTCCAGTAAGGTACTGAGAGGCTTCAGAGAAAGGCGGAACCAGATTGGACTCAGACAATCGCCCTGGAAGATACCCTTTCTTATCCTTATGTGGTTCTCCGCAGCCATCATCCGCGCGCCCAGATAACAGAGGATCATACTCCACTACCCCATACACTGCTCGAGGAAGTCTCCAATCCATCCAGGCGGCGGAGAAGTTCCGACAGTTTTCACCACTTTGCCAATGACCGCGTTAATGAGGAGTGGTTCCTTGGTTCCACGACCACCGCCCCTACATCCATTTTGAGCGCGTGACATCACCCGATTTAGCTCCAGGTGACGAGTGATTCTCGCGCTCAAAATGGAAGTCAGTATCTTTAATATGGTAGACACGTGATGGGGCGGTATTTGCTCGGATCTGTGGTATCCTGATCTTTAGGAACCAAATGAATGATCCCAGTAGTGAAGAGGCTCGGGAGCGACTTCTGGTTGAGAACCTCTTGGAACTGTCGGGCGAGCACGGCGGGACACACTACGAACCTCTTCAGCCAGTAATGATGCAGCCCGTTGAGCCCCGGGCTTTTCCAGTTCGGGGCCCTACGGACCGCCTCAGCCACGTCTTTTAGCGTTATGGTGACGGGGTCCATAGGCGTAAATCGTCAATCCAAGGGTCCTCGTTGTGGTTTACGGGCTCAGACCACAGGCCACGCGAAAATGCGACAATGTTAGCCTAGTCCACTCCTGGGCCCGCTCCACATACCTCTAGTCGCTCCAATGATTTATAGAGCCTCTTCTGATCACTCAGGAGGAGACGATTCTGGTTGAACCGCCTTGACCTCTCACTAAATCGTCGAATCCGCTTCCCCCAAGCAACGATTTTTTGCTTCAGGTCATCTACGCGCTCCGTTAGTTTCTGCGTGATATCCAGCTGGGACAAACTAATATTTGTCCCAGCAAACGCCATTCTAACGGTGCGCACAACTCTCGGTCTATTATTACCCGACCTGAAGCTTGTCAGTCTGCCGATATGGTCCTCAATTCTCTTTTTCAAGACTGGGATGGCGCTACTTTGTCGAGTAGCATGTCCAGCCATGGGAAGTTTGGCGCCAATAATACGGCATACTGCCAGTGCGGCACCAAAAAGAATTGAGTCTGTCTCCCAAAGGTCCCGGCTGGCTTCCAAATAGGCCACCAGCATTGGGTTAAGAGCCCGCACGACAGCCCGACTTCGCTTGCTAAGGGGTATGCGGGGAAGTCGCGGTCGATTTTCGAGAGGCATGCTGCGCGTTTCCAGCATCGACTCTTCCAATATGTTCCTCATTTTCTCTACTTCGTGGGGGACTATTCCATCATCGTCTGAATCAACCACAAATGGAATATTGACGGCAGCATCCACATATGCAGTTTGCTGCGCAATTAGTGGCGCTGCATTCCCAGCCGTAGCATTTCCATCCGATGAGGGAACAGCCTCACGTCGTAGTCATTCAAGTTCGGCGTCACCAAATATGTTGGAGCGCAGAATGTACCGAACTCGGTCTGCCAGGTTTTGCTCAGTGACGGATAGAGATGGCTCCAGCTCTGCAAAAAAGCGATGCATCCGAGCCCGATATACCAAACATCCAGCTTCTTCCCCTTTTGCCCTAAAGTACGCCCGCAGTGCGTTTGCGTTCATTGTTTGTGACCAACGCATGCGACGTGCTCCACCAGCGGTGGGTGCCGCTTGCTGAATCCGAGAAGACCGGAGGGCTGCTAGGTGACCGTGCAGCTCCTCGCGCTCGGCTGGCGGCCCGCATGCTGCCGCGTCCAGCGCCAGCTCCAGACGCGCCTCGGCGAACCCCAGGCAGCGGCTATATGCGCGTTCCTCTTTGTGCCATCATCCCTTTTATGGGCGCCAAATAACGGGAGACGCCCAAACCCGGCACCGTGGTTCGGTCATATGCACAAACGGACCTTTGTACCCACAATTTAGCTTAGGCACGGCGCTCACACCTCTTGGCATGGCGCTGACTGACTGCGCCAACGTAGCAGTTTTGTCACATAACTGTTACGTCAGCGGGCGATGGGGTCATCAATTCCCTACGCCTTATTATTTATTTTTACTGTTGCGTGCCTAAGTTGACGTCTGGCACTAGCACCATCTAGTGTCGGGTAACAAAACGAGGAGAGCTTTCCAGAAAATGACATTTTTTTTTTTTTTTATAGAAGAGGGGGCAAACGAGCATGTGGCTCACCTGATGTTAAGTGACTACCGCCGCCCATGATCAACCGCAACACCAGGGGAATTGCAGGTGCGTTGCCGGCCCTTTAGAAAGGAGTAAGCTCTTTTCTTGAAGGTCCCCAGGTCGTATCGGTCCGGAAAAATCACCGGTGGTAAATTATTCCACAGAGAGGTTGTACGCGGAAGAAAACTCCTTTTGAAACGTACAGTGGTGGACCGCCAAGCATCCAGATGGTGTGGATGGTATCGGGACGTTTGCCGTGTAGTGCGTTCACGAAATTTGGCGGCTGGGATTAATCCGAACAATTCCTCAGAGCACTCCCCCGTGATAGATGCGATAAAATACGCAAAGAGATGCAACATCTCTTCGCAGCGCCAGTGAATCGAGCCGATCGGAAAGCACTCGGTCGTCAACGATTCGAGCCGCTCTGCGCTGGATGCGGTCAAGTGGAAGGAGCTGGTACTGGGGAGCCCCAGCCCAGAGATGGGAACAGTATTCCATGAGCGGCCGAACCTGCGCCTTGTAAAGTTGCAGGCGGTGTGCCGGCATGAAATACTGTCCCGCTCTGCTGAGCACGCCAAGCTTTTTAGAGGCCAATTTGGCCTTCCCTTCCAAGTGACCACGAAACTGCACGTCACTCGATATGTCGACGCCGAGGATTCCGATACTGGCTGAGGCAACAAGGGGAGTGCCTTGAAACTGAGGGGATACGACAAAGGGGTTCTTTTTAGCGGTTAACGCGCAAACTTGTGTCTTCTGGGGGTTAAACTGGACTAGATTTAGTCGCCCCCAATCCGAGACTCTGTCCAGCAGAGACTCGACTTCAGACACAAGTTTGTCCCGGCACTCAGAGACGTTTTCCCGAGAAATATTGGCTCGGCCGGTGTAAAGAGCATCACCAGTGCTGTCATCTGCATAGCAATGAATGCTACGGGTTTGCAACATATCATTGATATGCAGAAGAAACAGCGTTGGCGATAGCACGCAGCCCTGTGGAACACCAGCATTAATAAGCTTGCAATCGGAGCTTGCACCGTCTACAACGACCTTGATGCTCCGATCTGCAAGAAAACTGGTGATCCAATCGCACAATTTCTCGGGAAGCCCATAGGAAGGGAGCTTCGAAAGAAGCGCTTTGTGCCAAACTCGATCGAAGGCCTTCGCAATGTCCAAACTAACGGCCAATGCCTCCCCCTTGGACTCTACTGCCTCCGCCCATCTGTGAGTTAGGTAGACCAGAAGATCACCAGCTGACCTACCACGGCGAAAACCGTATTGGCGGTCACTAATCAGCTGGTGATCCTCAAGGTACCTCATGAGCTGGCAGTTTACAATGGACTCCATTGTTTTGGAGAACAAGGAGGTGATGGCGATAGGCCGGTAGTTGGACGGGTCTGAGCGGTCGCCTTTTTTAGGGATCGGGTGGACGAAAGCCGTCTTCCATGATTTTGGGACTACGCCTAGGGAGTAGGAGTACCGGAAAAGACGCGTTAAAACCGGTGCCAACTCTGGAGCACACGTCCTCAGCACAATTGGGGGGATTCCATCAGGCCCACTCGACTTATGGATATCCAGGGAGAGGAGTGCTTTGCGAACCGAGCGCTGAGTGAACTGCACTTCCGGCATGGAGCACTCACACCGCGGGATGGTCGGCGGCGTACTCCCCCCGTCATCGAGAGTCGAGTTAGACGCAAAGAAAGAGCCTAGAAGATCGGCTTTCTCCTTTGCGGTGTGGGCCAGTGAGTCGTCCTCCCTGTGCAGAGATGGAAGAGATGGCTGACAGAAATTCCCTTGGACAGCCTTGGCGAGAGACCAGAATGCACGGGTTCCAGAAGGAAGACGAACTAGTCTCTCGCCAATTCTGCCTATGTGCTCTGACTTTGCCTTGGCAATGACTCTTTTGAAGGACCTAGAGGCGGAATTATACTTCTTTTTTAGAGCGCTGGTGTTTACATCCCTGGACGCTGATGCGTCAGCCCAGGCTCGGTAGCACTCCTGCTTATAGCATGATGCTATTTTACAGGAGCGACCAAACCATGGCTGAGATTTGCCTCCAATGGGCACCACAGAGGAAGGAATAAAAAGTTCCATACCCTGAAGTACCACATCAGCGACAGAATCCGCAACAACGTTGGGATCATCCGGCGAGAAGCAAACCCGCCCCCAAGGGTAGGATGCAAAGAAAGACCGCATCCCATCCCAATCGGCTGACCTATAGTGCCAAACACGGCGGCAGCCTGCAGAATGCAACCGCGGTTTCAGCGTGAGTGGCACCACACTCCGGACAAGACAATGGTCCGAGGAGCCTAAAGGGGCGTCAACGGAAATCTGATATCCGTCCGGGTGAGAGGTCAGCAGAAGGTCCAACAGGGAAGGTGCATGATCCTCCACATCTGGAATCCGCGTAGGCGAAGTAACAAGTTGTGTCAGACCATATGCCAAGGCAAAATCATGAACAGATCTCCCCGCATGATCGGTTAAACGTGAACCGAGCCATTCGGCGTGATGGGCGTTAAAGTCGCCGAGGATCACGATCTCTGCGGAGGGGATCTGCTGTAGCAACGAATCTGCAGCCATTTGGACGTGGTCGAAGAGTCGGTCTGTTTCGGCATTACCGCTATGGGACCTATAGAGGCACCCGTAGACGCGCGGATGGTCGTCGCTGTCTACGCGTAGCCAAAGGATGGACAGGTCCGAACCTTCAAGTCTGCCGAGGCGTCGAGAACAGATGTCCTCTCTGACGTAAACGCAAACTCCAGCCCGAGGCACAAAGGAGTGTTCCAGTTTGTACCCCGGACAGGAGAGATACGAGACATCAGCCGGAGAGGACACCTGCGTCTCGGTCAGAAAGAGCAGAGCCGGCCTCGCCGTCTCGAGATGGTAGTGGACGGCGTTTAGGTTAGAGTGAAGTCCCCTGATATTGCAGAAATTCACGGACAGCGTGGCAGGGGTCGCCTTGGTCTTGCTGCTCCGTTTGCCCCGAGCAGTTTTAGTCTTGAGCGGAATATTGCCCCCCCCCAGAATACGCGGGGCAGCCTGAGCACCCACGCTCAGAAGTGGAGAAACATGGTCGTGGATGCTCAGCGAGGGATTCTCCAGGGGTGCAGGTACCCTCCTGGGGTAGTCTATGATTTAATTCCGCTACCATGTTGATGGGGGGGGATTTGGGCCTCCGGCCACCTGCACTCACCAGACGAAACGCGGAAGCAGAGCTTCCACTTCACGCCGGTATTCTGTGAGGTCGTGGTACCACCCCGGTTTGAGCCGGCCCATACGTGCGACAGCAAAGCTGCCGCGTGGCTCTACCACTGTTGAACATGACTAATCTTTCGACCTACGACCTTTTGTTTGTACAGTAGGGCTACGATGGCTATCCGAGTACAGAACCAGAGCTCGAAACCTATCTAACTGCAGAGAGGTGTAAGACAGGGTGACGTTATATCCACGAAACTCTTCACCGCTGCATTGGAAGACCTTTTCAAGCTACTGGACTGGAAAGGATACGGTATTAACATCAATGTCAAGTACATCACTCACCTTCGATTTGCCGACGATATAGTCCGTATGGCAGAATCGCTGGAGGACTTAAGCACTATGCTCAATAACCTCAATAGTGCCTCCCAACGGATAGGTCTTAAGAAGAACATGGACAAAACAAAGATCATGTTTAATGTCCATGTCACACCTATGTCGGTAGTTGTTGGGAGCACTATGCTCGAAGTTGTTGACGAGTACGTTTACCTGGGACAAATAGTGTGACTAGGTAAGTCCAACTTCAACCGAGAGGTCAATCGACGGATTCAACTCGGCTGGGCAGCGTTCGGGAAATTACGACATATCTTCTCGTCGAAGAATTGCCTATCCGTCAGCGGCCAAGAAGATTGCCGGTAGCACGTGAAAAGGAAGTGGAAACCATGATTGAGGGAATGGTGAAGGATGGTGTTATTGAACCTTCATCTAGTCCATGGTGTTCACCCGTGGTGCTGGTAAAGAAGAAGGACGGCAGCATGTGTTGACTACCGCCGTCTGAACGACGTTACAAAGAAGGACAGCTATCCCT